AACCTTGAATAGTTGAAATTGCAGTCCACAGCAGAGGATATGGCCAACCAGGGAATGCATTAGGCCTCTACGTCACAGATTCTCTTTTCAATTACATATCTGGTGAAAAAGAAAAGAAATATATATATACAATCATTTGACCAAAACTTTTTGCTTTAAGTAAAATATTCAAAATGAGAAAAGATAGGTTAATATTTTGTAAATGTGTTTTCATTTTTCGAAAAAAAAAAACACACGTAGTATTTGATATTTTCAACTGGTCGTGGTTAGCATTCTTAATTTAGAACTGCTGTCCACAGAGAGGTCAATCAGTCAGGAGCACCCGCTGCTGACACGTCCACTCTTAACTGAATATCATTTATAATGCCCATCACAGCTGAAAGTGCGTGGGTACTTTAGAGGCAAATCTCATTTCGGGCCATTGAAGCTTTAGGTCCACACGCTAACTACTAGACCACACTTAGCCCATATGAAAATTGATAATGAAGTCTTGAAAATGCAATCAAATTTTCCTGTTAACATTAATCAAAAAAATATGTTTTCAGAATCTGTGCCCCAGTTAACAATGTAAAATGTTTCTCGTAGACAGTGTCATGTTTCTTGTATGCTGGAGGCGATAATAAGGGTCAACTAAACATGGCTTTTTTTTAATTGCCCCCCAGTGGTACAGTGGAATTTGTTTTTATTTACTTCTCAGTTGTACTCGAAAAAACATTTTAAAAAACGCGAAAGCACTATTTATCAAGAAACGATACATCGATTCGTCTATTGCCGTTAGCCCCAGTGGCACAGTGGTATGTCTGCGGAATTACAACGCTAGAAACCGGGTTTCGACACCCGTGGTGGGCAGAGCACAGATAGCCCATTGTATAGCTTTGTGCTTAACTTCAAATAAGCAAAGCCTTTTAATTTTATAACTGTTTCTGAACCACACAAGTGTTCGATACTTAATCCAGATCCTAGACCACTAAAACATAACTTACATAGATTTATTAGTGCTTCAAACTGTTGTTGTTTTTTTTGCTTAAAAAGAAAAGTATAACATAGTTCTTTTAGGTAATATTGTTAAAAACATTACGAAAGTTTATAGTTATTTTTTGAAAAGAAAGGACATTAACATAATTATCTAAACCTAGGGATACTTTTGCTTTGCCTATTGCGAGAGTCGAAACCCTATTTGTTGTGTTATAAACCCTAAGACTTACCGCTGAACCACCGCTGATCTTTGTTTTTCGGAATATAACTTTCCATTGATTAATCGTATCGTGATGTTTTTGTTTATATTTGCTCTTACTCTGAGACCAGTGGTCAACCTGTCTCATTGCAACTGTTGTTATATGTGTTCCAGATGGTTCACGTTGCGTTTAGTGA